ACCTACTGCGAGGGAAAAAAAGTATGAATACTTTTTTCTCTCCCTCCCCGGCAGTTTTGGGTAAATAGCAGGACAGACCGGTTCTATAGCCTTGGATGGTAACTGGACTATCGCAGAAAGAAATGGCAACCTACTGCGGGAAAAAATCGACCAGGTCCAATGGATGTCAGTTATCAGTTATCTCCTGTTAATTCCCCTCTCCAAGTTCTCCTTAACCAGGTATTGAACTCACACTCTTTGGGTCCTGTCACTGGATTTAACTAAAGCCTTTATCCACTGTGCCATGTGTCCCTGATGACCCATGGAACTAGAACAGTTTACCCCAGTGAGCAAAATAAAGGGTTCAATTCGACATTCCAACCACCTGAAGAAGGCCGCAGCGTACAACGGCCGAAACGTTGTGATAAATATGGCAATAAAAATAGTCCGTAAATATAAATAGCGAAAACATGTTTAATATTGCATTTCAAGTTGCTTTCACACTGGTCTATTTTTGAGTTAGATTAATTAGAAAATTCAATCAAATCTGAATTTTATTTGAAATCTATATCTATAATCCTGAAAATGTATGTATGTATGTATTAGGTTGGTGCAAAAATAATGACGTAATAATGTCGTTTCTTGACGTTAAAAAATACGTAAAAAAACGACATTATTACGTCATTATTTTTGCACCAACCTAATATATATGTATGTATGTATGTATGTGTGATCGGATGTTGTTTATGCGTTTCCAGTTTTCATCTAATTTTGATGATTTCTTTTTGTTTGATAGATAATTCTTTAGTGAGTTCAAGTTGGTTGAAAAAAAATTACAACCTTGAAGGTGAAAAATCGAAAAAAAAACTGAGTCTTTTCACTTGCATGTGTTTCTATCTATACGAATTAAATGTTTAGACGCAGAAGGCCGGATTATCAATACAAAAACGCTTTGCTAGCTTATTGGTCGTTTAATATTGAACATTAAAGAAATTGCTTTACATTTTAATTGGGTACTTACGGGCTTTGAACAAATGCTGTATACTACAGTATAGGACAAGGAGACTTCGATTCTAGACCAATTTAACATATAAATGTTATAATACATAAAGGATATTTACTAAGCTTTACTTAGTACGGTAAAAGGCTAACTGAAAGATGAAATTGTTTTAAGAAGGTAGCACTAATAGTATCATAGTATTCTCATGAGATGAAACCTTATGATCGATTATAAATATATATGACTAGTATTTCTTTCATCTTAATTTTACTTGATTTACTTATGCCAGTATTATTAATAGTAATATTATTTCGAATTTTTTTTTATTCAGTGATCATTTTTAATTATGACCGAACTTTCTTTGGTCTTAATTTCACTTCCTTTACATAAATTAGTTGTAATATTATTTCGAATTATATCAGGCTGGCGGCCTCATCGCATTGAAACACCGTACGATCACCAAAGTTAAGCAAAATCAAGGTTGGTCTTTAACTAGATGGGTAACCGCTTGGAAATACCAGGGGAAGTAATGCTGGATGTGCGGGTGGTATAATAAATAATGGCTCAGAATTGTTAATCGGAGAGCAGGCTTCCAATTCCAGCCTGTTTCGTTATATTTACTTACCCGCAAATACTCTTTGGGAAAGTTAGGAGTTCACCTTTTCTCTCCCCAGCTATGGGTTAATTATTAAGACTTTTATCATTAAAACTATTATTATCTCTCACCATAAAAAAGATAAAATTGCGTAATATTTATATTTCGGTATTAATTAACCCATAGAAGTTGATATGCTGTTAAACAATAACAACTAAGTAACCATTATTATCATTTAATATATTGGCGCGTGAACAAGTGGTTAGAATGTTTACTTTCCAGTAAGAGACCTACGTGCTAATCTCCCAACGGTCGGTTTGTGAGGGTGCTGATTTTTTGATGGCCCTGGGGAGAGAGCAGCACCGTTGGTATGTATTTGAAAACTATGAGCTGACATAAGCCTTTTGAGCGAAATTGGGTGAACTAAACTGTTCAGATTGTGTGCTAGCATGACATCATAAGTCATTGTCACCGAGGCTTTGAGCGTACTGGCCCTATTCAAACCGTTTAATTACGCCAGATTATACGTTCTCGGTATTTATCCAAGACCTCCCCACAAGATTGGATGCGGCACAGGGCCGGTTATTTTATGTGGGGCGATTCCCAGTTCGTAGGCTCGGGCAAAAATTGCCCGTACACTCCGTATACACAGGGTTGGGTAGCTGTCTGCCTCCCCAGACGAGAGTCTGCCCTTCGGCATAGCCTCGTATTGGTTTCTCTTTGCCTCCAGGCAGAAAGGTCGAAAAGCAGAGTATTACCAAATACAGAGGTTTTGCTAATACTTTGGTTATAAAGTAATTTTCTAAGCGTAACTTAGATGTGGCACACGGCCGAAAATTTGGGGCAGACAGTAAGGATCGAACTCACTTTTTTCTTTTTATGTGCCATGTCCCTTCAGGACGTAGACTGTCATGGATCTCCACTTCCCCCTATCCGTTGTAGCTCTCAATAACTTTCATCCTTCAACCACCTCCCCCAAACCACGTTCTGTCATCCACTTCCTTAAGCCCGCAAGGTATGTCATACATTACTTTTCCTTGCCCTTCTTTCTATCTATTCGACGTGTGAGTATCAGATTCGCCAAGCCCTCTTTTCTCATTACGTGTCCCAGAAATTTCTGCTGCCTCTTCCTGTTGTTAAGTATAAGCTTCCTCCTTGTTTGCATCCTCTTCAAAACCTCATCGTTGCTCACACGCTCGGTCCATGATATCCTCAGCATTCTTCTGTAGAACTACATCTCTGTCGCCTCGGGTCTCTTCTTCATCTTTGAGGAAATCGTCCAACATTCGCTGCCGTAAAAGAGAACAGATGTCACGTAACAGTTCAGTACTCTTTTCTTTGTTACCAAAGAAATCCTCCCGTTTCGCAATACTCTGGTCAGCTTTTGGAATGCATTCAAAAATAGAAAATATATATAAAATAGGGTTCTTTTTTTTTTTTTTTTTTTTTTTTAAATTAAAATAAATTTACTAGTCTGGGCCCCACAGTCACCCGATTGAAAATGCGAGATATAAACTTCCAGATCATTTTTCAGTCATCACTGAATAAATTCTGGATCTGAAATTACAAATATTTTGAAAATAAACGTCTAAAAAAAAAAAAATAATTATAGAGAGAGAGAGTTTATGCAAATTTAGGTAATCCGTATGGGTAGACCTGAGGAGGATGATATCCAGAGAGCTCAATGTAAAATTCAGAGCAGATATGTTTGAATAAAAGACAGACCACGTTAAGATTCCATGTAATAAGCTATTTCACCACCATAACCCCTTTAACAGGGTTCTGGATCATCATACTTTACTTCCAAAAGCTGAAATGAAAAATGAAAAGAAATTCACACGTTTCTTACGGACCTCATCTAGTATACGCAAAGTTAACGAAGTGAGGTGGGAGAGAGGATATGAGTGTGTCATATGTATCATTTTAGTTTCCTATTTTAACCCCAGTGTGTCGGCTGGATGTTGCTCAAATTTAACGCGTCTCGTCTCTAGATAAAGGTGGTTAAGGGGTGATGTCAATGTCTTTGAATTAAAAGAAGAAATTATAGACATTTAGAATAACATCACTAAAAATTTAATTACTAAGTTACTTATATGAACAACAGAAGAATACCATACGGCAAACAACTCGAAATAAGTTTTTCATAGAAAATTAGGTTAATAAAGATTAATTCATAGCGTTTTAGCTTTTTCTTCTTAGAGCGATTTTCCAAGCGAAGCTTACATGCAGCACAAGGCCGAAAGTATGGGGCAGCCAGTGAGGATCGAACTCACTATTCAGTGGTAATTGTTCTAGTGACACAAGCTTGCTAGCCATTACAACACTTCGAGGTGCCCTAAAATGATTTCTAAGCGCAGCTTAAATGTGGCACAAGGCCGAATGTATAGGGCACCCAGTGAGGATCGAACTCACTACTCAGTCGTAATTGTTCTAGCGGGACAAGCTTGCTAACCATTACACCACAACGAGGTGTCCGAATATTATTCATTCTCTCTCAGAACCTTTCACTCAGGTCCGCTCAGCGTAGATGCAGCGTAAACTGCAAGCGGGGTTTCTGGATACTGAACAAGCACTAACGCTAAAAATTCCAAAAATAGCTTTTTGCAACAATTGAAATTGCCGAGGGAGTAGACGGTATTTATGAGATCAGATAAGAAAACGTCTATAGATAGTGGCTCGGATTGAGGAATCGGAGAGCTGAGTTCGAATTCCAGTCGAATCTATTACATTCACTTACGTGCAAATACACATGGGAAAGGTATGAATCCTCCTCTTCTCCCCCCCCCACACCTAGCAGAACAGACCAGGTCCTATAGCATTGGTTGGCAACTGGTCTACCGCAGAAAAAAATGGCAACCTACTGCGGGAAAAAAGGGTATGAATCCTCTTCTTCTCCCCCTAGCTATGGGTAAATAGCAGGACAGACCGGGTTCTATAGGCTTGGATGGCAATGGGTCTACCGCAGAAAGATAATGGCAACCCACCGCGGGAAAAAATCTGCCTCGTCAGTCATGTATCGTAAAATAGATGATCGCCTACGCATATATCACGTATGGCACATAACTGCCTGATCCAAGCATGAAAGTGACAGCCACCATGTTATTTTGATTCATATGTCCTCACTATCTGTCTTACAATATGACCCTATTGAAATCTTTGCGGTGTACATTTTCCAAAACGTCGATGAAAATAAATTTGAAAGCCAGAAAATAATTTATAGTTTCTAAGGTTTTTATTTTAGATAATAATAATTTTGCGAGACAAGATTTACTAATTAACCCATATCTGGGGGGAAGAGTTAGATTCATATCTTTCCCAAGAGTATTTGAGCGTAAGTCAATATAACGAACCTAAATGGAGTTAGAACTCGGCTCTCGGATTAACAATTTCGTGCCATTATCCATTACACCACCCGCACATCTAAGTTTACAACACTTGGTACTCCAAAGTGGTCACGCCTCAAGGTACTGACCAGGTTCGACGTTGCTTAACTTCGGTGATCGTATGAGAACCGGTGTTTCAACACGCGTTGATCAGAGGGTAATCATCATTTAAAATTTTATTTTTGTTTATTTTATTGTTTTGATTTTTTTTTATTGTTTATTTTTATTTAATTGCTTTATTGTTTACTCGGTTTGGCTCAAGTCCAAAAAAACTCAAGAAGCTAACCCATCCAAATGATCGCTGTTACTTAACTGCAGTGCTCAGATTGTAAACGGTGTTTTGAACCTACACCCGTGTGCAAATTGAAACAACCGCTTTAGTTTCCTTTCTTTCACCAAACGGCCAGTTTTAGACCCACTGTAGTGACAGTGTGTAATCTATTTTCTTTTTTCAGATGAGTGTTGTGCAGTAATATGAATCTATTTTCGTGGTGTATGATGAAATTTCTTTGGATTTGAAAAATATTGCGTCATCCGTGTTTGCATCAGATTTTCATCACACCCACACACTATTGTCTCGACTGTCGATTAGTTGTCCTACGTTACTCCAAGGAAGCTTTCGAAAATTTGTAACGCTGCACGAACACACTTGCAAGCCTTACCAGTGAGCGAATAAAATTTACTAGACTGTCCTGGAAACTCTTCTGATTTAAATCCAATTGAGAATCTGCGGTCAATCTGCAAGAAACGACTTCGTGGAATGGACATACGAATTACTAACATGTGCACTGGGTCATGTTTCATTGGAAAAATACGAAAGAAAAGTAAATAATAATGGAATTATTCGTTTTGTTTCAATTAATTTGCACAAGGGTGTAAGTGATCATGGCTTTCCACATCTTCCTGTATAATTAATTTGCACAAGGGTGTCTACCGGTAATACTGCAAAACTTTTCTCTGAATTGTTCACTGTCGGTCATTGGCGTGTTTATTTGAAGAATAGGCACGTAAAAAATCTGTACCGTGATATGACAAAACAGTCTGTCTGTGGATGACATATATATATATATATATATATATATATATATATGTGTGTGTGTATAGTCCGTTCAAGTCGTCTGAAGACCGCGTTGTGTGAAACTCGAATTATGACTAAAGCTGTCCTTTTATAGGATTTAACTTTGGTAAGCGTTTTTTTTGTTCTTTTTTTCTTTGCTTGGTCTAGGCAATCTAGGTTTCGAGCACTTTAATTTACTGAGTAGGTAAGTTTGCTTTCTAGCCTTGTTTTTCAGCATTGCCGTTTTTATTCGAAACTGTATCATAATAATTCGCACAAGGTTGTAAATTCCCTGTTGGCAGGTAGCAAATAACACATCATAATCAAGTTTATCTTTCAAGAACCCTTTTTTTTCTTTTTCTTTTTTTTTTTTTACTTTTTACCGCTATTCAGACCTTCTTCGCGATGTAGACTTTCCTTAACAGATTTTGGCATCGATGGGAATAAACGGAAAGATTAAAATTGATGTAATTGCAAGATCTGAACCAATTCAAAATGGCCTCGATTATCCGTTTCCTTTTCAGATATGTCTATTTTTTTAATTTTTTTAGCGTTAAACTTAACCTCGAGGGAATCACAAAATCATAAAGCGTGATAATAAGGAATAAAGTTGCATCAAGAACAGTTCAGTTGGCTGCCATATTTCATTTAATGAGCAATACGTCCTTAAAGGCATCAGCCACTAAATAGAAGCGAGTGAGAAATCAGCCCAGTTGAAGGAAAATAATTAGAAACAACCTTTCACAGACCCTTACTAGTTCTATTTTAATATGCCGTGTCCTTTCAAGATGTTAGCGATCATGACTCTCCACAATTTCCGGTCCTTTATAGTTCTTAATATCTTTTGTCGTTTTGTTATCTCCTCTAAACCTTGTTCCGCCATCCATTTACTCCATCTCGCTAGGTAGGTTATGCGTTGTTTTCCGCTGTTCAGTTTGACATCAATCTGTCCTCTGTGTAGCAAATTTTCCAAGATCCCCTTTGTGTCCTGTAAATTCTGTTTCTTCCTGATGTTAAGTAATAGTATCCTTTTTGTTTCCATTTTCTCTAAAACCTCGTCGTTGTTCAAATGTCAAATGGTATTCTCAGCATTCTTCTGAGATTCTCCAGCATTCACTGCCATATACAAGGACTGATATTACATAACAGTTCAGCACTCTTTTCTTTGTTTCTGTTACGTCAAATTTCTTCTTCATCTGTTAAGAGATTGTCCAGAATTCACTGCTATATAGGATGACTGATATTACATAACAGTTCAGTGCTCTTTTCTTTGTTTCTCTTGCTTCAAGTCTCTTCTTCATCTGTGAGGAGATTGTCCAGCATTCATTGCCATATAGGACGACTGATATTACATAACAGTTCAGTGCTCTTTTCTTTGTTTCTCTTGCTTCGAGTCTCTTCATCTGTGAGGAGATTGTCCAGCAATTACTGCCATATAGGAGGACTGATATTACATAAGAGTTCAGTAATCTTTTCTTTGTTTTTTCTTCATCTGTGAGGAGATTGTCCAGCATTCACTGCCATATAGGAGGACTGATATTACATGGCAGTTCAGTACTCTTTACTTTGTTTCTGTTGCTTCAAGTCTCTTCTTTATCGGTGAGGATATTGTCCAGTAATCACTGCCATATAGGAGGACTGATATTACATAACAGTTCAGCACTCTTTTCTTTGTTTCTAACAATGTGTTTCTGCTTTTGAATACTTTGCTTAGCTTTTAGAAGGCATCTTTCATTATCCCAATACGCCTTCAGATTTCGGTGTCACACTTTCCGTCCTCTGTTAAAACACTACCCAGATATTTAAATTGTTGCACTTGTTTGATTTTGGTAAAGGATTTGTGTTTTTTACTCTATAAATTGCCTTTTTATTTTTTATTTTGTTTTGTCATATCATATTTTTTCTTTGGAGCAGAGATGTCCAGACAGGATGGAGTTGTACTGCATCTATCCTATTGCAGGTATTTTCTGATGTTTCTATTATCATGTTTTTTTTTTAAGCCCCAACTTGTTATTATGTTGTAATGGTCATCAACTCGGTTTGTTTTGCTTGATTTGAATTCTTATGCGATTCGAGCTTCTTTGCACTGTTTTTTTACTCAAATTAAGGAGTGACAAAGACTGGCAACTGCTAGTCGAAATAAATCATTCGTTGGAACTACAAGTTTTTTTCTGTTGATTATGCAACTACCAACTGAGACAAGCATCCTAACAGGTTGGTTGACATTCGACTCAGAACGATAGACGTAAACCCAGTTTACACTAAAGACAAAATGGTGGATATTGAGGAAAGACCTGTTTGTTTTACACGTGTCAAAATGGTTGACATAGATCTGGTTTACGCTAGAATAAGAAAACGTCAGTCCGGTTTACACGAGAGACAAAAAAGATTGATATAATTTTTTTTTTAAACCAGTGTCAGAAAGGTAGACGTAGGTCCGGTTTACACCAGTCAAAAGGCGGATATAGTTCGGGTTTATACCAGAGTAAAAAGGAACACGTAGGTTCGGTTTACACCTGTCAAAAAGGCGGATATAGTTCGGGTTTATACCAGAGTAAAAAGGAAGACGTAGGTCCGGTTTACACCAGTCAAAAAGACGGATATAGTTCGGGTTTATACCAGAGTAAAAAGGAAGACGTAGGTTCGGTTTACACCAGTCAAAAAAGTGAATACAGGTCGGGTTTACACCAGAGTAAAAAGGTAGAGGCAAGTCCTGTTTGCACTGGTGACAAAAAGGTGGATATAGGTCCGGTTTACATTGGAGTCAGAAAGGTGGATATAAATTGGGTTTACACCAGAGTCAAAAAGAAGAAAAAAAAAAGACGTAGGTCCACTTTACACTGGTGTCAAGAAGGTTAATATATTTCTGGCTTACACCAGAGTCAAAAAGTAGACCTAGCTCTGGTTTACACTAGGGTCAAAACAAAGGTCAACTTTATATCCCAGTCTGCTGAGTATTCACACGGAAGGTGGTCCTTTTTCGGAAGAGGAGTGCTTTCATGTACCGAGTTGTAGGCCGGTCGATTCACCATCTCAAATAAATAATGTTGACGTACTACTTAGAAGTTTGGGCAATTAAAGTTCAGCAATAATTGAACTACTTTTAAAAATAAGGGAAAATCTGGAAAATATTACAATTAATTGGAGTTAATCTCGAGGTACTTTATTGAAGATAAATAACATTGTGTCAAACTCTGGGTAACGTAACGCTTATTCACGTTGAAAGGCAAATTGACGAGTCGAGATCAAATTCCCACCTACCCACTCTGTTGCGTTCACATTTCCACTAATTTCCTAGGGAAAGGTATGCATTCTCCCCCTCGCTAGATATAGGCTAAAGTGTCAATCGACATCTGACACCCTGAGCTTATTCCCCGTCCTCCTCTATATCCTTTCCTCAAACACGCCTCTTTACTCTTGTTCTCAATTCTCTCAAACCCTTTGCGTGCTAGTTGCACTCCCGTCTTGCTTGGGGTGAATTGCCTTTAAAAAAATAGGACGGGCTGGACTCTCTAGCATTGGCTAATGTTTAACGAGCTAATCTATTAAAGTTTAGTTGTAATGTTGTTACTTCCATACTCACTGTGCGGTCTCCAATTTTTGCTTCATGCCAGACTAGAGTTGAATTACAATGACTTATTATTGTAATTATACAATGAAACCATCTCATCTTTTCACCGACCGGACAACTGACCTCATCTGGCATCTCTATTCTCGATTACGTCGGTGTGTACAAAATCAGGGAAGTTACCACTTAACATTCACAAGCAAACTAAAGATGGCAATGCTCACGGCGAGAAATGAAGACTGGATTCTTCTTTCCAATATACATGGATAATTTTTTTTTTTTTAATAATCGGCTTCATCCCAAGCAAGGCGATAATGCTACTAAGACACAAGGGGTTACTGGATGTGAAATAATTAGAAAACAGAAACATTACTCAGTCACTCAGTTATGTGCCATGCGTAATAAACGCGTCAGCGATCATGTACCTTTCGATACATAACTGACGAGGTAGATTTTTTCCCGCAGTAGGTTGCCATTACTTTCTATGGTAGACCAGTTGCCATCCAAAGCTATAGAAC